TTTTAAAGACTTACATAAAGATATTTCAGCGTTAAAACAGAAGAAAGCATACTTTGCAATAGCAACCAATCAACTATGCATCAACAGTTAATGCGAAGCGAGTGTATTAACGAAGAAAACAGTGCCCAGCAAGATAGTAGATAATAATGTTTTGCAAGTTATGTCAATAATTTTATTCATTATAACGAAATTAAGTAGTGCGATGATCATCACAACATCGTTGTTACTTTTAAGACTCCTATGAGCAGAAGGTCTTCCAAAACAACCTATATGGCAATTTACTTTCCACTTTACAACGGTTTACTAAGCAATGTGACATAATCGAAACTGACGATCTTCCGTAATATAAATGTTCACCACAAATACAAGAATTAAATTTCAAACTTCCGCCACACTATGTATCATACTCGCTATATGATCAGCAATAAAATAAATCAACTCAAATTTAATTCTAATTTTCATATATCACGTAGCACTGCTATAAGCTTAGTACGTTGGAATGTAGCCACACCAAATTTGAAAGGTCGACGACTTGCTACTGATCTTAGTATGGACTTCTCCGAACCACAAGTAGAAATGCACCTTATGAAGGAAATTCAAAGTATCTAAAATGGATGTTGTGCTTAGCGATTGGAATTTAACCCGGCATCAAAATAATAATTTTAAGGCGCCACGTCCTCCAAAGTGAGAATCATCACCAATGCTTTAGCCTGTGAAAGTTCAAGGTTTCTCAGGTTGTAACATTGCAGGTCGTGCTGATTTATCGGTTGCTTATTTTATTTTTTTAAACAGTCATTGAAATTCCGCGACCCGAAAGGATAACCGGCAGTAGAACATGAAAATCATTAAAGTTATCAAAAGTGGCGTCGATCCTTTTTTCATATCCACAGGCATTCATGCTCAAGTTCAGTTGGTGGTGCACTTAATGATTATTTATACGAAGGTTTAAAGCTTTTGTTTATTTTTTTGTAGTTTTTCATTTTCCGATTTACTGGTTTTGTACCAATGGGCAGAACATTGCATTAACTTCAGTTCAAAATATAGGTTTCAGTGTTCACAATTTTATGCGAATTGTTTCAGTTTTGTGCGTTTCTTTATTACAACACTCGAAATAACTTTCAATGATCGTAGCATTCTTTTCGGCCTCCTGCCGAATGCCACATCCCCCCCTTGAATTTCTATTGTGCAGCAGCTTGTATGACCCAAACAAATATAATCGTTTTGCTGCTGATAACAAAATTTGCACGTGAAA